ACACACACACACACACACACACACACACACACACACACACACACTTTCAGCTCTAAAACTCTGCGGCAGCGTCACTTTGAAGGAACGAGTCGCCCGACATCGAGCTCTCAGATTAAGCACAGGGAGGTTAGCCTAGCTTAGCATTACAACAGGAGAATGACGGCAGGTAAACACACCTTCAAGTTACATTTACCTGCAGAGTAAAGGCGCAAACAACTGACCAGAAGCTAAATTCTGCGCGGCGTGCTGAGAGTACGAACGTGGCACAGATCGTCCACAGGCAGCGGAATATCCTCCTGACGCCTGCTGGAGTTATCGTTCGGAAACGGGTGTCATCTAAAACCAGCACGCATGAGCAGACGTTAGCGATGACGGGAACTAAAATAAAACGTGCTCTTTCAGTCTGCTCGCTGACCACTCACAGCGCCCCCTGCTGACCAGTAGATCATTCCCGTACGGTAGGATCAACAGGAAGTAGAACATCTGCCTCAGAGACAAGTGTAAACTTCACTACGCAGAGATCTCGTAAACTTGGTTGTTTGAACACAAGAAAAACAAAGATGGAGGGGCTTCCTGTACGGAGCGCGCTGACGCCGAGGCGACTCGCGGCGACATGGGCGTGTTCCTTTAAGTGGCTTGGAGGGCAGTGGTAGGTTGGTCTCGGGTCAACAGAAAGATGGCAGTGTTTGTTTTTATTGTCGTGTACAGAATCTTAGCACTACAAATAAAAGTTGATTTTAAGAAATCTTCCCTCGGTCGCCGCCTGTACACCGCCGCCTTCAAGCCCCGCCCCCCGCCCTGAATGTTTGAAACACTTAGGAACCAGAAACGGCGTCTACAGTTCAGTTATGTACATAGTTACAGTGGTTTTTAAAGCACTGCGAGCCGAGTGGAAGCTCCACAGCCGTCGCGCTGTCTCGGTCGACGTGTTGTTGGCTGATTGGATCGCTGCCCCCGTGCAGCTGCAGTGACTGCGTATAACGGGCACGTTCAAAATAGATTTTTTAAAACTTGTGACATGTTTGTTTTTAGGATTGAAGCGCTGAAGACTGAAAAGGTCAAAATGGCGCCGTTCTGCTTCTGTGTCCCCTGAGAGAAGCAGGACGGCGCCCCCAGACTAAGACTGGCGCCGGATTCACGAGTAGGAGAGGTGAGAGCCGTTGGAGATGTGCGAGGTGACCGATGTGCTCCGGGTTAACCCGCTGTCGCTCCCCCCGCCGCCTGGCCCCCCGGAGGCTGTCCGCCTCAGCGGCTGAGGGCTGTTCCTGAGCGCCATCAGGCTGGGGCCCCTTACACTCAGACCGCCGCCGCCGTAGCCGCCCTGTGAGGAAGAGGACGAGGAGGTGGAGGAGGGAGGGGAGGAGGTGGAGAGGGCGATGGGAGGAGGCGGAGGTGGCGGAGGCAGGAGGGCCAGGGACTGCGAGGAGGCGTGGGAGGAGAGGTGGTGGACCTGGGAGTGATGGGCGTAGTGTCCGCCTCCTCCCACCCATTCCCTGGAGCGGTCCCGCTCCCTGGAGTCGCGCTCGTGGGCATCGCGGTAGAGCTGCGGCGTGCTCTGGTGGTGTTGGTAGTGTTGGGGGAGGTAGTGCTGCTGGTGATGGGAGGAGGAGTGGCCCCGGCTCTTGCTCATCTCGCCATCCCTGCCAAGGACGTGGGACGAGGCGATGGACTCAGCGCGGCTGAAGCCTCCACCGCCGTGATTCTGGCTGCGCCAGGATGGAGTCGTCACAGAGTTCTGCACGCTGTGGCTCCAATGGCTGCCGGAGCGCGGTACGGGCCGCGACGGCCAGCCGCCAGAGCCCGAGGACGGGCTGGGGGTCGGGTAGCCCTGGTTGAAAGCCTCTGCCGGGATGCCGGTCAGCGCCATGTTGCTGAAGCCCAGACGCATGCTCTCCGAGTCGAAGGCCTCAATCTCGTGAGCCTGGCGCTCGAGCAGCGTCCGGATTCGCTCGGAGCGCTCGTTCTGCAGAGTCAGCATCTCCTCCTCGATCTGTTGGACAAAAACGCGGCGGTTAGCTCGACCGGGGCGCGGCCCGCGCTTTCACAAGCTTCGACTGTCAGAGTGTAGTCGGCCTCACCCTCTGCTCCAGCAGCGCCCGGCGGATCGACACCCTCTGCTCCAGGTCCTTCACCTCGCGCTCGTGCTGCGTGTCCGTGTGGATCTTGATCTTGCTCTGGTAGGCGTTCAGCAGCTCGAGCTCCTGCTGCAGCTGCATGCGGAGCACCTGATACTCGGCCTCCTGCGTCTCATCCAGCCGCAGCTGTGGGATCAAAACAGAGCCTCGCTATCAGCAACAAAGTCAAGCAGGTGAAAAACAAGTGTTTGTGCTGCATGTGCGCGTTTCTTTCATGTCTGGTTTTTAGTTTTAGAAAATAAAAATCATTCAGCTGAAAACTACAGACAGGAAATGACTCTTCATCCTGAAGACGAAGGTTTCAGTCGATCTGACACAAAATTCAGCCGCTTTCAGCTGTAAGTATCAGCTGATGTCCACATGTGCGTCACATGTATCGGTGCACACAGACCAAAGGTGTGACTTTTATGATGAGATAATGAGCTTGTTAATAAAAGCAAACATTAAATCATAAGTTCAGCCCTGAAATATTACTTAATGCCTCCATGTTTACATATATTTAATAAACATGCCATATTTGAACTTCTCTAATCTAAAGCTGCTCTGACTTGAGATATTTTTGGCTGAAAGAAATTACATTTAAAATCAGTTGTTTGGATAATTTAGATGTGAATAACATTCGTTCAGGATTTCATAAACATTTCTCCTCAGCTGGTTTGTTTCCTTTAAACCGAGCTGAGCTGCAGCTGAGCTGGGCTCTGTACTACGAAGCAAGTTCAACATATCCAGGATATTTTACTCCAATCTGGCTTCATTTAAATCTGGCAATCAAGCTTTAACAGTCCAGCTGTGAGCACGTTCACATGGGAGAGGCGGGGTTTGCACGTGACCAATCAGAAACATGGAAAGCTGATCGTTCAAAGGAAGATAAAAGGGGGGGAAAAAAAATCAGGTGGTTAAACAGAGTGAAGGTAAGAACTGCTGCAGAGGGAGCAGGGGGGGCTCTGCAGGAAGCTGGAAGAGCCGCTGTATTAGTAAAGCTCATCTGAAGCATAATTTCACAACCTCCCTAAAGCAGGTTAGAGCTGCAGCTCAAGTTGCCATGGCGATGTAAGAAGAGAAAGCCTCTGTGTATACCCGGGCTGATCAGCCAGGGCTCATCCTGAAGTTACCTGGATAAGACCAAATCCTGCCTTGTAGTACAGGCCTCTGGTTCTAAGGTGCAGGTTGTCAGGTGTGCAGGTGCTGAAGTGTGGGAGGTTGTCAGGTGTGCGGGGTTTCAGGTGTGGGTGGTTGTCAGGTGTGCAGGTGCACGGAGGTTTCCTTGCCTTACTCACAGCCTGAGAGGACAGCATTTCGTTGATGGAGTGGTCGTACTGCTCGGCCAGGATGGCCAGCTTACGTGTTTGCTCCTCTTTGAGGCGTTTGAGGACGGCCTTGTGGTCGGACTTTGGAGTGCTCTCCAGCAGGTGGTTCCTCAGAGCTTTGTACTGACGGGTCTGGATCTTGCAGGTCTCCTGGAACTGACGCTTGACCTGAAGCTCTTTGGACTGAAACAGAAGGAAACGTGTCGAGTTCATGTAAACTGCTTTTACACAAATAAAAGCATTACGAGTTCTTCTGATCAGTGAAGAGGTCAAAGTTCTTTAAAGTATCTGCCACATTCTTCCCCTTTTCCCCCAAAGTTCTGCTGATATTGGAAAATTTATGTAGTTTGACTAAATTACATAAACATTTCCCAAATTGGCATAGGGATAGCTCAGTGGGTAGAGTGGGCGCCCCATGATCAGAAGGTTGGGGGTTCAAATCCTGCTACCCTGAGGTACCCCTGAGCAAGGTACCATCCCTAAACACAGCTTTTATAAACTGCAGGAAAAACTGAAATAAATATTGTTGTCCATCCATCCATCCATCCATCCATTCGCTTCATCCATCCTTTTCAGGGTCGCGGGGGAGCCTATCCCAGCTGTCATAGGGCGAGAGGCGGGGTACATCCTGGACAGGTCGCCAGTCTGTCGCAGGGCCAACACACAGGGACAGACAACCATTCACACTCACATTCACTCGCACATTCACACCTATGGGCAATTTGGATTATCCAATTAACCTATCCCCACAAGCTGCATGTCTTTGGACGGTGGGAGGAAGCCGGAGTACCCGGAGAGAACCCACGCAAACACGGGGAGAACATGCAAACTCCACACAGAAAGATGGTGATGATGGTGGAATTGAACTCTGGACCTTCTTGCTGTGCGGCAACAGTGCTAACCACTGTGCTGCCCGTTGTCAATTCGCAAAAAAACAGCATCACAATTAAGCCTCCAACAGCACTGGATTATAATGTTTTTATTGTTGCAAGTGCTTTTTACACGATTTTTGCAAAAAGAAACGGCGAGCTGGGACGAGCTGAATGCACGTTAAGAACACAACTCCTCCAGTTTCACATGCAAAACAAATTATTGCGCTAGCTTCTGTGGTTGCATTTCTACTGGGATTTAAAAATAGTAACAGAAACCAGGTGGTGCTGTGATCCTCCTGAGGTACCTTGAGACTCTTGGGCTGCTGCCGGACCTCCATGGCGTGCTTCTGCCGAAGCTCCTGCTCACGCCGCTTGTTGTACTCCATCTGATTGGTCAGCTCGGTCTGGTGCTGCGTTCGGATCAGCTCGGCCCGCGTGCGCTGCATCGTGCCCAGCTGCCTGAACTCGAGCTCCTGGGTGGACTCGTGGTGCCGCAGCAGCATGGCGCACTCCAGGTCCTTCTGGGTCTGCTTCTTATTCAGCTCCTAAAGGACGGAGAAAAGCAGGAATCACAGCGAATCACGGCCGGAGAGAGCAGAGCAAAAACAAACGCAGCTGCTGTCCCACCTCTCTGAGCAGGTCCTGCTCCAGGTTGTGGCGAGCCAGCAGCATCTTCCTCTTGTACTGGCGGCACTGCAGCTCGTAGTACTGCCGCTGGCGCCGCAGCAGGCTGGCCTCCTCCTCCGCCTGCATCTGCTGCAGACACTCCTTCTGACGGACCAGCCACTCCTGCTTCTCTCGCTTCGGAGTCGACTGGTTCTCGCTCAGCTCCTGTTCAGAGTTCAGAGTTCAAGTCAGGTCAGGGCTGTGATCTCTTTATTTCATCACCAGTCAGCTCATTTATGTTCGTGTCACAGATCGCTTCTGCTGCTTTATTCTGAAAATCCAGGTGCAGTCAGACGCCAGCTGTAACTCAGCTGCGCTGCCTTTTATTTTACATATTTTACTCTTTATTTAAACAGCTTCGTGTTTCAGCTCCTACAGGAACTTCTCCGTTTGTGGGAGAGATACTGTTTGGTTTTGCTGTTTCACAGAAACCTTTAAATTACAGCCTGTCGGCACGCACGGCTCCTTTAGAGCAGCTACGTTCGGTTCAGCCTGCAGGGCACGCGCAGCTGCGCTGACTGTGGAGGAACTCGCTCCGACCTCTTTCAGCTGCTCCTTGCGCTGGCGGTACTGGCGTTTCTGTGAGTCCAGTAAACTGGTGAGTTCCTTCTTCTGCTGGCCCAGGATGTGCTGCTGGAACTTCTTCTCCTCCGTCAGAGCAGCTTTCGTCTGCACGGGCACACAAACAGGATCCTTACGTTAAGAAATGAACTCATAACTCACATTAAGACAGAAAAAACTTTGATCTATGAAATGATGCAAAAACTGAATTTAAAGAATTCCTGTTAAAAACACTGAAACCTGTTTTCGCTTTTGGATTTTGAATTCATCAAATAAAAATACTCTACAAAAGATTATCATAGTAAAAACTGCACCTCCTTCTCCAGGATGGCCTGGTGCTTCTTGGCCAGCTTGTCGGCCTCTGTGGAGAACGTGTTCCTCTGGTTCTCCAGCTCTTTGTCCAGCTTCAGCTGATGCTCGTCCATCTCCGCCTTCAGCTTGTTTTCCAGGCTCATCAGCTGCTTCTGGTGCTGCCGCCTCATGCGCTTGTAGCCGGACATCTGCTCACGCAGCGCCGAGCCCTGCTCGTGCTCCTGGATCTGACGGGTCACCTGGAGGAAGGTGGTGGTGAGGTTCAAGGACTCAGCAGGTCGGCTCGAGTATCAAAAAAACGATCATTTTTAAGACTTTCTTGCTTGATTCACATGATTATTCACAACTTCACAAACGTGATGCACGTGTGAAGACATGAGCCCGTTTTTACTGAGAACTGTTAAAGACTAACAGGGAAGAAAGGTGGAGGTGGTGGAGACAAAAAGCTGCCTGTTAATCCATC